ATACTTGAATCATATGATAATATATAACACAGTTACAAAGGGTTTTGTTTTGTGGGGTTTTGGGTGAATTTTGTTCTTGGGGTTGTAATTTGGGGCGTCATCTAATTGCTTAAATTGCCTTACAATAAAATAAACGGGTGGCCGTAGCTGTATTTTCAACGCTATGTAAAGAAATTGAATAGGAATTATTTTTGTGAATGATAGTATGTTAAAATTATGTGACCCGGGCCATTGGCAATAATATTATTATTCCAAATCTATCTATATGTCGCAATAGATCTCACAACGTAGCTCTAATCAATGTTTGTTAATGTCGTGTTAAGTGAGGAGAGGATGACGGCTGTCCCAAGTTAAAATTCTTTTTAGTTAAAATTGCCCCTAAAATAGTTTTGTGATACGCCACTATATTAAGTTAATATTAAATTATAACTTACAATATTACTTAAGTGGATTTTATGTAAAATGCTTGAAACTTATCTATCTTAAGTTAGGATGATATTTTAGATTAAGACGATTTTAAGGACATTTAAGCTTTTGTGAAACAGGGTCTCGAGCTCTTCATCTTTCGTATATTTTCAATATCATCTTCCCGATATAAGAACACAATAGTCAGACAATAAGGAGCTTTGTGCAATATTATTTCTAATTACCTAAAAACTGATAAGATAATAATATCTTGATAAAAGTTATTATCTAGTTAAAAATAACTCTAACACTCACCCCTGGGTGTTAAATAAAATCTAAGTTCAAGTCACTTATTACAACACGGGTGTAAAACAGCAGACGACAAAAAGCGAATTTGATTAAAAGCTTTTAGATTTAGTTTTCAGGCTTCAAATGATGTTTTTGCCCATAGATATCCAAAACGTAAGACAAAGAAATTTTGATCGCAGACCTGCTCATTTACGAGAAATTTCAGTACAGGAAATTTTAAACTGTTTTTGGGGATTTCTTGATTACAATATGATTTAACGATTTAAAATCCATTCGACACAAACCAGGTCATTTCGACACAAACTAGGTCATTTCGACACAAACTAGGTCATTTCGACCCAAACTAGGTCATTTCGAGACGAACATATAGTTCAATTTTATTTACATTATTCGCTTGCGCCTAAGTCTTTAGCATTGGCGGGAAATCGGAGGACCTCGAGAAAACCCATGAGGTTGGACAGGCGATCCTACTTCTTGTCACGTACAAGCGGAAAATCGAAAACCCAGTGGCAGACCTTTTGATGCAACGCGCATGCATTAACAATTCTCCTAGCTCGCATTGCGTCTGCGTGTGAATGTCTGCGTGGGTGTGTGTAATGGGGTTTAACGTCCACTCGACACAGACTAGGCCATTTCATGATTAACGTTAATCCATTTAACCAATATATGTGTGACATGAATATGTGCATGGCGACTAATATAATTGAATCTTTACTCAGGTAAAATTAATTCATTGACACATTGTAATTAAACTGGAAATAAACAGGTGATAATTCTCTGTTTATTACTGATCGACATTTCAACATTGTTTGACATCACCATAACTATATGACCTTCTACACATTGGCCAATAGGGCCTGTACATAATATTGAGTGTTTTATTTTAACCCGAATGAAACACTGGATTTAAATTTCGAGTTGCAAAATGTTAACATACTAATAGTAAGTGCAGGGGGGGGGGGGGGGTGTCTGCACCACACATCAGATACTGGTAATTCAAACAAATTACTGGTTAAATTGGTCAACTAGAATAACCTCATATTCTCTAATATAATCATTTCAATATACTCACTTGATCAGACATATTGATGACGTAATGGGCGTGATCGATTACTTTATAACACAAATACACGACCGTCTTTCACCGATGTTGAGGCGCCTTCTGGCTCTAACAAGGGACAAGGCCGCGCTACAAATAAGGAAATATTTTTTGAAGAATCCCCGTTAGTAGAAACCAACACACTATTTTTAGTAACTGACTCAGTATTATGAATGATTTAACAATTTTCAAGTATGCGCTACAAATAAGGAAATATTTTTTGAAGAATCCCCGTTAGTAGAAACCAACACACTATTTTTAGTAACTGACTCAGTATTATGAATGATTTAACAAGTTTCGAGTATGCGCTACAAATAATATATATATTTTTTTAGGAACCCCCCTTTTGATAAACCCATAAACTATTTTAGTAGCTGATTCAGGTATGGTACACAGTCTTGAATAAACAGTAATTTAAAAAGTTGAATCTAGCCTTTATATGATAATCGATACTAGTGTCTATTATGTCTCAGTGGTGGTATAGTCTTGATTAAACAGTAATCTTAATGCAGTGCAAAGCCTTTATAGGATACTGGTGGAAATTAGTGTCTAGTATGTCCCAGTCTAGTCTTGATCAAGCAGTAACTTAAATCCTTTATATATATGGTAATGGAATCTAGCATGTATTATAGGGGCGTGACTGTCCACAACTGGGTAAATACAACCCCACCCAAGACCCTGACACCCTGTAGCTACGTTGGATAATTATATTAATTGCTACATATTTAAAACACTGTTTTTGTATATATATGTTGATATAACATTGTATTAACGTTCATATATGTGATAAAACGGGACGGTTTGTGCAACATCTCCACCAGTTGTCATTCTACATGCAGTGGCGGATTATCAGTGAGGCTGATGAGGCTGCAGCCTCAGGCTCAAAGATTTTGTAAAAAAAAATTTTTTAGACTTGTCTGATACGATTAAAAACACATAGACAATGAATGTTAGGGGTTAAAATTGGGTTTAGGCCCAACGGGAATCAACATAGGCCCTGACCCGAAATTAATTAGGCCCACGCCATTTTAAATAGGCCCTATTTAAAAACTATATAGGCCCTCCAGCAACTGCGCCCTCAGGCCTTGGTGGAGCTAAATCCGCCACTGTCTACATGTATGGTGGTTTACCGCCCTCGCGTCGTCTGTTAACATTCTACATATATGGTGGCTTACCGCCCTCGCATCGTCTGTTAACATTATGGTGATTTATTGCCCTGGCGTTGTCTGTTAACATTCTACATGTATGATTTACCGCCCTCGCATCGTCTGGTTCATTGTGGTATCGTTCATTTAATACCAAGTTGGAGATAATATGCTGTAGTTATATATATCACAAATAGAGCTAATTTTACGCAAAAACAACTAATGCAACTTCACGTCTCTTGTATTACCAGGTTGGTGTCGTGTAAAGAAATGAAATGTATCTCAAAATTTACGACTGCGCATTTCTCCACGAGGGATAGAGGCCGTGAATTTCGTTTCTCGTCCACCCAACAATTTTAACTAAAATCAATTTTAAGGACATTAACAAACATTGATTATGACATAAAGAATAATAATAATATTACCAATGGCCCGGGTCACATAATTGTAACATACCATCATACACAAAAAAACAACAATTCCCATTCAATTTATTTCCATAGCATGGGAAGTACAGCTACAGCCCTGGGCCCGATTTCTCGAAATTTTAACTAAAGATAAAATCCAAATTTTAGTAGATACTTCAATTTTGATTGGATAAGTTCTAAATCAACCTAAGATTATTCAAATTTTAGTATATTATTCAATCAAATAACTACAATTTGAATTTTATCTTAGTTAAATTTTCGTGAAACGGGGCCCCTGCACCCGTTTATTTCATTGTAAGGCAATTTAAGCAATTAGATGACGCCCCAAATTACAACCCCAAGATAAAAAATCACCCAAGACCCCAACAAAACGCTTTGTAACTGTGTTATATATTACCATATGATTCAATAAACAACAACAACAAAAAATATCCTAAATGAAAATCTGAACTCACTTGATATCTAATGTCATGAAAAGAAGAGCACTTGTCTATAAAAATACATCTTTGTTTCCAATGGTTTAAAATGGTCAATTTCTTGGTATTATAGGGGTATAGGGTTAATTTTGTCTGTAAAATTTTTCCGAATTCAATTAGCAATGGTTTGAATGTTTTCAGTCCAGCGTCGATTATATGGACACCCTACAATCTTATAGCCTTAGGTCTGACATTGTATGGACACCCTATGATCTTATGGCCTTAGGTCTGACATTGTATTGACACCCTATAATCTTATAGCCTTAGGTCTGACATTGTATGGACACCATGTGATCTTATAGCCTTAGGTGTGACATTGTATGGACACCCTGTAATCTTATACCCATAGGTCTGACATTGTATGGATACCCTGTGATGTTATACCCTGAGGTGTGACATTGTATGGACACCCTGTGGTTCTATACCCTTAGGTGTGACATTGTATGGACACCCTGTGATGTTATACCCTGAGGTGTGACATTGTATGGACACCTTGTGATGTTATACCCCGAGGTGGGACATTGTATGAACACCCTATCATCTTATAGGTCTAACTGACATGACACCCAGGTTAGTTTTGAATTTATTTTGTGGGATAGAAATTTAAAATCCAACCGTACTGTGACCTAAACGTCGAGTTACAAAAGGTCAAAGCACTGAATCATTACATCAAATTCTGGACAATCAAACAGATTACTGGTTAACCTGGACAACTAGAATAACCTCATATTCTGTAATATAATCATTTCAAAATACTCACTTGATCAGACATATTGATGACGTAATGGGCGTGATCGATCACCTTATAACATAAATACACGACCTTCTTCACCGATGTTGAAGCGCTTTGTGGCTCTAACAAGGGGCGAGACTTTCTGCAAACCATATTATTTTCTAGGAATCTCCGTTTAAATTGTATAAACCCATACACTATTTTTAGTAACTGACTCGGTATAGACTGGATTAAACAAGTTTCAAGGTCGAGGTCCTGCTACAAACAATCGGGAAATATTTTATTATGAATCCCCGTTTGATAAACCCATTCAGTATCTTTAGTATCCCGTTACATATTCCTCGTATACCCCCCCCCCCCCTCCGCGTTCTAGAAATCTTTTTGGTGAGGTTTTAAATGGTTTAATTGGATCATATTTCACTACTTATGACCGAGATAAACACATTGGAGATTACTGAATTATATTTTTACAGGTCACCATAACCCCTAAAACCCTATAAGTAAACATTGTTGGCCTACACGAAGATATTTTTTTTATAGAGTGCTCTTTCCCTGACATTCAATATGGAATGAGTTTACTTTTCATTTTAGGTGTTTTTTTTATTGTTCTGTTTTTTTTTGTCTGTTATTTATTTGAAAATAGTATAATTTATACTTGAATCATATGATAATATATAAGACAGTTACAAATGGTTTTGTTTTGTGGGGTTTTGGGTGAATTTTGTTCTTGGGGTTGTAATTTGGGGCGTCATCTAATTGCTTAAATTGCCTTACAATAAAATAAACGGGTGGCCGTAGCTGTATTTTCAACGCTATGTAAAGAAATTGAATAGGAATTATTTTTGTGAATGATAGTATGTTAAAATTATGTGACCCGGGCCATTGGCAATAATATTATTATTCCAAATATATCTATATGTCGCAATAGATCTCACAACGTAGCTCTAATCAATGTTTGTTAATGTCGTCTTAAGTTAGGAGAGGGTGACGGCTGTCCCAAGTTAAAATTCGTTTTAGTTAAAATTGCCCCTAAAATAATTTTGTGATACGCCACTATATTAAGTTAATATTAAATTATAACTTACAATATTACTTAAGTGGATTTTATATAAAATGCTTGAAACTTATCTATCTTAAGTTAGGATGATATTTTAGATTAAGACGATTTTAAGGACATTTAAGCTTTTGTGAAACAGGGTCTCGAGCTCTTCATCTTTCGTATATTTTCAATATCATCTTCCCGATATAAGAAAACAATAGTCAGACAATAAGGAGCTTTGTGCAATATTATTTCTAATTACATAAAAACTGATAAGATAATAATATCTTGATAAAAGTTATTATCTAGTTAAAAATAACTCTAACACTCACCCCTGGGTATTAAAAAAAGTCACTTATTACAACACTGGTGTAAAACAGCAGACGACAAAAAGCGAATTTGATTAAAAGCTTTTAGATTTAGTTTTCAGGCTTCAAATGATGTTTTTGCCCATAGATATCCAAAACGTAAGACAAAGAAATTTTGATCGCAGACCTGCTCATTTACGAGAAATTTCAGTAAAGGAAATTTTAAACTGTTTTGGGGGATTTCTTGATTACAATATGATTTAACGATTTAAAATCCATTCGACACAAACTAGGTCATTTCGACACAAACTAGGTCATTTCGACACAAACTAGGTCATTTCGAGACGAACATATAATTCAATTTTATTTACATTATTCGCTTGCGCCTAAGTCTTTAGGGGTCTTTAGCAGTGGCGGGAAATCGGAGGACCTGGAGAAAACCCATGAGGTTGGACAGGCGATCCTACTCCTTGTCACGTACAAGCGGAAAATCGAAAACCCAGTGGCAGACCTTTTGATGCAACGCGCATGCATTAACAATTCTCCTAGCTCGCATTGCGTCTGCGTGTGAATGTCTGCGTGGGTGTGTGTAATGGGGTTTAACGTCCACTCGACACAGACTAGGCCATTTCATGATTAACGTTAATCCATTTAACCAATATATGTGTGACATGAATATGTGCATGACGACTAATATAATTGAATCTTTACTCAGGTAAAATTAATTCATTGACACATTGTAATTAAACTGGAAATAAACAGGTGATAATTCTCTGTTTATTACTGATCGACATTTCAACATTGTTTGACATCACCATAACTATATGACCTTCTACACATTGGCCAATAGGGCCTGTACATAATATTGAGTGTTTTATTTTAACCCGAATGAAACACTGGATTTAAATTTCGAGTTGCAAAATGTTAACATACTAATAGTAAGTGCAGGGGGGGGGGGGTCTGCACCACACATCAGATACTGGTAATTCAAACAAATTACTGGTTAAATTGGTCAACTAGAATAACCTCATATTCTCTAATATAATCATTTCAATATACTCACTTGATCAGACATATTGATGACGTAATGGGCGTGATCGATTACTTTATAACACAAATACACGACCGTCTTTCACCGATGTTGAGGCGCCTTCTGGCTCTAACAAGGGACAAGGCCGCGCTACAAATAAGGAAATATTTTTTGAAGAATCCCCGTTAGTAGAAACCAACACACTATTTTTAGTAACTGACTCAGTATTATGAATGATTAAACAAGTTTCGAGTATGCGCTACAAATAAGGAAATATTTTTTGAAGAATCCCCGTTAGTAGAAACCAACACACTATTTTTAGTAACTGACTCAGTATTATGAATGATTTAACAAGTTTCGAGTATGCGCTACAAATAATATATATATTTTTTTAGGAACCCCCCCTTTGATAAACCCATAAACTATTTTAGTAGCTGATTCAGGTATGGTACATAGTCTTGAATAAACAGTAATTTAAAAAGTTGAATCTAGCCTTTATATGATAATCGATACTAGTGTCTATTATTATGTCTCAGTGGTGGTATAGTCTTGATTAAACAGTAATCTTAATGCAGTGCAAAGCCTTTATAGGATACTGGTGGAAATTAGTGTCTAGTATGTCCCAGTCTAGTCTTGATCAAGCAGTAACTTAAATCAGTAATGGAATCTAGCATGTATTATAGGGGCGTGACTGTCCACAACTGGGTAACTACAACCCCACCCAAGGCCCTGACACCCTGTAGCTACGTTGGATAATTATATTAATTGCTACATATTTAAAACACTGTTTGTGTATATATATGTTGATACAACATTGTATTAACGTTCATACATGTGATAAAACGGGACGGTTTGTGCGACATCTCCACCAGTTGTCATTCTACATGCAGTGGCGGATTATCAGTAGGGCTGATGAGGCTGCAGCCTCAGGCTCAAAGATTTTGTAAAAAAAATTTGTTTAGACTTGTCTGATACGATTAAAAACACAAAGACAATGAATGTTAGGGGGGTTGGGTTTAGGTCCAACGGGAATCAACATAGGCCCTGACCCGAAATTAATTAGGCCCACGCCATTTTAAAAAGGTCCTATTTAAAAACTATATAGGCCCTCCAGCAACTGCCGCCTCAGGCCTTGGTGGAGCTTAATCCGCCACTGTCTACATGTATGGTGGTTTACCGCCCTCGCGTCGTCTGTTAACATTCTACATATATGGTGGCTTACCGCCCTCGCATCGTCTGTTAACATTATGGTGATTGATTGCCCTGGCGTTGTCTGTTAACATTCTACATGTATGATTTACCACCCTCGCATCGTCTGGTTCATTGTGGTATCGTTCATTTAATACCAAGTTGGAGATAATATGCTGTAGTTATATATATCACAAATAGAGCTAATTTTATGCAAAAACAACTAATGCAACTTCACGTCTCTTGTATTACCAGGTTGGTTTCGGGTAAAGAAATGAAATGTATCTCAAAATTTACGACTGCGCATTTCTCCACGAGGGATAGAGGCCGTGAATTTCGTTTCTCGTCCACCCAACAATTTTAACTAAAATCAATTTTAAGGACATTAACAAACATTGATTATGACATAAAGAATAATAATAATATTACCAATGGCCCGGGTCACATAATTGTAACATACCATCATACACAAAAAAACAACAATTCCCATTCAATTTATTTCCATAGCATGGGAAGTACAGCTACAGCCCTGGGCCCTGTTTCTCGAAATTTTAACTAAAGATAAAATCCAAATTTTAGTAGATACTTCAATTTTGATTGGATAAGCTCTAAAATCAACCTAAGATTATTCAAATTTTAGTATATTATTCAATCAAATAACTACAATTTGAATTTTATCTTAGTTAAATTTTCGTGAAACGGGCCCCTGCACCCGTTTATTTTATTGTAAGGCAATTTAAGCAATTAGATGACGCCCCAAATTACAACCCCAAGATAAAAAATCACCCAAGACCCCAACAAAACGCTTTGTAACTGTGTTATATATTACCATATGATTCAATAAACAACAACAACAAAAAATATCCTAAATGAAAATCTGAACTCACTTGATATCTAATGTCATAAAAAAAAAGAAGAGCACTTGTCTATAAAAATACATCTTTGTTTCCAATGGTTTAAAATGGTCAATTTCTTGGTATTATAGTTATAGGGGTATAGGGTTAATTTTGTCTGTAAAATTTTTCCGAATTCAATTAGCAATGGTTTGAATGTTTTCAGTCCAGCGTCGATTATATGGACACCCTACAATCTTATAGCCTTAGGTCTGACATTGTATGGACACCCTATGATCTTATAGCCTTAGGTCTGACATTGTATTGACACCCTTTAATCTTATAGCCTTAGGTCTGACATTGTATGGACACCCTGTGATCTTATAACCTTAGGTGTGACATTGTATGGACACCCTGTAATCTTATACCCATAGGTCTGACATTGTATGGATGCCCTGTGATGTTATACCCTGAGGTGTGACATTGTATGGACACCCTGTGGTTCTATACCCTTAGGTGTGACATTGTATGGACACCCTGTGATGTTATACCCTGAGGTGTGACATTGTATGGACACCTTGTGATGTTATACCCTGAGGTGGGACATTGTATGAACACCCTATCATCTTATAACCTTACACATGCCATCCCCATAACTATGACATTCTACCCATTGTAACGCTCTAGGGTTAGGGTTAGGGTTAAGGTTAGGATTAGCGCTAGCCCAGATTACATCTCATGACTTTTGACCAACCTTGAAGTTGGCCTTATCAAATAGATGTAACCATCATTGAGCCATTCAAACAAATTACTGGTTAAATTGAACAACTAGAATAACCTCATATTCTCTAAAATAATCATTTCAATATACTCACTTGATCAGACATATTGATGACGTAATGAGCTTGGTGGATTACTTTATAACACAAATACACGACCGTCTTTCACTGATGTTGAAGCGCCTTCTGGCTCTAACAAGGGACGAGGCCGTGCTAGAAATAAGGAAATATTTTTTGCAGAATCCCCGTAAATAGAAACCCACACACTATTTATAGTAACTGACTCATGTATATGTATGATTTAACAAGTTTCAAGGTCGAGCTACAAATAATAAGGAAATATTTGTTTTCTATGGTGGCTGATTGGTATCATGTCTAGATGTGGCCCTTCATAAGGCGACAACCTGACGTCACTAAATGTTAATATGACATCACGACATTTATACACATGAGCTTGTGTCTTTGTCCCATCTACTAAACTAAACACTTCGTCCTGAACTACCGACAAGAAAAACTACGCTGCAAAATCCCGGGGAACGTTCTTGACCAACACCAGGATCAGTGTATATAATCATACCGTATATACAGAGGAAGATGACCGCCAATCCCACAACACGACATTTTAACACGACATTGCGACAATTTTAATGCCGTGATGTCGAGTTGTAGCGTTGTCGTGATTTCGGGTTAATATGTCATGATGTCGCCTTATGAAGGGTGACATCACGACATGATACCAATCCGCCACCATAGTTTTTTTGAATCCACGTTTGATAAACCCTTACAGTATTTATCGTAGCTGACTCAGTTATAGTCTTGTCTAAACAGTAATTTTAAAGCTGTACAAAGTCTTCATGAGATACACAAACATGTTTAATTCAAATGTATTTTAATATAAAGATAAAATAAATTTAAGAAAATCAAAAAATTAGCCTACATTTACATTTTTCACAGAACAAATCTCGAACAACAGATTTCCAAATACAACTCTCCAAATACAAATCTTGCAAAACATTTCTCTAAAAACATTTCTCCAAATACATTTCTCCAAAAACTATTTCTCGAAAGTCATCGAACCGGAACATTATGACGGCATGAGCGGAAATCAACCTGGCATACAATAAGTCACCAATTCAATAATGGGGAATCGAATATAAGCATATGTACAATAAGAAAAATCACTAGTTTGAGATTAGGATACCCGCCATAGACTAGAAATGAAATACAATGACACGGAGTGTAACGTTCTATTGTTCTGCTCCGAACTGGGCTAATGACGATGGGTATGACGATGGATGCCCGGACAGGGGCACTACGGCCTACTCTTATATCGAGTTCCAGCTGCAAAGAATTTTTACGTGCGATCCAATTTGTACACGGGCCTCGTTTTTTTTTCTATCCATTCGGACGACTAAACAGCCGCCTTTTCAGGTCCTCCGTCCTGGATGAACTTTCTCGGCCAATGCTAGCGAGCCAGCGTCTCGCCCATTTAGGCACAGTGGATCCACATAGACTAGAAACCAGCCAACCAATCATCGTGTAAACAAGAAATAGAATGGAACAAGATTTCCAGAAGTTAATTTGCTAGATAAGTATTATGGGATACCAACAATTGGCAGGTTTAATTGGGACAGAGGAAACGGATCCTACTTATCATCGAGCATTTGTTGTCAATAGCGGCAACAGTATAGCAAGTAATGACAATATAGTAGTTGGAAGAGTCCAGAAGAAGCAGATAATACGAGTAATGTAAATGCGTCCATTCTAGATGATTATTAGGCTCATAAAAAACAATCCCGGCTTATTCCCTTTAAAGGCGCCTTTATTATATTACTAATTCCATATTTGGTGAATATCGAATAAGCAAGTTCGTGGTTCGTCGTTTCATTTGTTCGTTGTACGACCATTGTTACTATGGCAACCAAAGTGTCAAATAAAGTTATTCAAAAGGCACAAGAGAGAGAGAGAGAAATGGGGTTTAACGTTCACTCGACACAAACTAGGTCATTTCGGGACTAACATATGGTTTAATTTTATTTACATAATTCGCTTGCGCGTAGGGGTCTTTAGCAGTGGGAGGAAACCGGAGGACCCGGAGAAAACCCACGAGGTTGGACAGGCGACCCTACTCCCAAAAGGCACAAAGATGCATTATGCAAGACCTAAATCTGGCTATTGCTCACCTTTCTTGCTTGGAATATTGCCAAACACGTAATCAACACTATAGGCCATGGGATGGTCGAGATATAATAATTTAATAATTTAACGTTAAATACTCGAACCCTTTTCATAATCATCGTAGCTATGACATTTGAGAATCTCGACTATCTTACCTACATCTTCTCACACTCATAACATAGCTCAGAATAAAGCAATTCGACTGAAATGTTCAATATATTCATTTTTCGTTATATGTTTTTCAACTATAATAGCTCGAACGGCCAGCGCTTTGTGTTTTCGGATTGTGAAATTATTCACCAAAGCGCAATGCCATCTCCAATAATTATGAAAATCCATGACACGAATTAGCTTACAGTACGTTCTTAACAAATTTACTACGCTGTCACGGTGATCCTATACAGTTCCCAGTATGATCATTAGTGCACTTTCAATGCACCCACTACTGCTCTATGTGTGCTCTCAGTGCACCCAAGTCGCTACCGCAGCGCTATCACTACGCATTCAGCAATACGCTAACAACTCATTCATTGAACAGGTGCGCCGTGCATCCAAAATAGAGCCTTCTGCGACCAGGGCATCGGTCTATTCAAAACCCTATCACACTGCGTCCTAAAATGTATGAAATCATGCGGTAAAACGCAGTAACGTCTCTGAGAACGATTTGGAGAGGTAGTGGAAACCAACCATGACAGTGTATTAACGCAGTACAGTCACGGTCAAGGTAGCTCATGGCGACCTCCTCTCGGCCCGAGAGTTTCTACTGCGTCAACAGATCGTTCTTAGAGACCTAGATGCACTTTGCCGTACGTTTTTAGGTTGTAGCGGGAGCGCCAGCGTGATCACGTGTAGATGTAATAGGATTTTCCCTAAAAAGATGTAATGGGCTATATACTCGTCAGATCGGGATGGCGTCCTTACTTCGCTGCTACGACGACGGAAAATGGTCTCAGAGCGCGCAAAGATCGCCATATACAATATACTCACACATTAAATTAAGATTCGCCATTTAAAATTTACACTTTATTCCCTCAAAATCCATATTTAAAAATAATTTTATCTAACGACTTGTTATTCATCATTGATATGATTCAACCCAAACAATCGGCTTGTCAATGACACCTGATCCTGTCCTATTCATGACTACATACCACTTAAATAGATATGAATTCTGCTTTCTATACAGCTATAGAAAGACGACATTATGATAATTTATACATGTAACTACACCCAACACATGACTAGTCTTTATACATTTATACCTTGTGAACTAAGCGATCCGTTACCTAAAACACGTAACACGTGATTACCGTATGGTTCTTTCAAGAAAATATTATATTTATAGAAAGCTAGGTCAATCTTGTATTTTCACGACCCACAAAACCACTAAACGAGTAATATTTCTAGAGAATATTTATTTATCCAATTTATCGTGCACGATGCAGGGTATACATGCTCTTTCAAGAATATCTTATATCATTTGATAAGTTGGCAGGGTTAATACAATTTTGATTTGCTCTTTCTAATTATGTCATTGGTAGTTTCTATCCCCCCCCTCCCCTTAGCAACAATGGCGTTCGACTTGCCAAAGTGCAATCATTTATTGTTTACACTATAATGGGGTTTCACATTTCACTTGGAATATATATTTCATCTTGTGCTAGAAATACATCCTGCGAGATAATTCAAGCAATTTAGAATAATACCAAATAGCAGGTCGCTGTCTTTATGATTAAAATGAGATGGGGTTTCACGTCTTACTCTGACTAGTCTAATACAACGTCGTTGTCATTATTGACATATTTCCAGGCGAAGTACGAATTTCGAGTAATATTAATCGAAATTGTTTTTATAGACGTTGTTGTTCAGTTGAAAATATCAACCGTGTTCTTGTTACATTTTGACTTTTTTTAAGTTTTTGTTTTGGTCTCGGTTTTAAGTTCTATCTGAATGCCAAGGTTTAATGACCAACAACCTCACACCCACCACGGTTCTCCGTGGCCATGCCATTTGTAGCTTTAAAAGTCACGCATTTCCGTGAAAGGTTGTTGTATAACCAAACGACCATAGCACTACTGTCCGTGGCTATGACATGTTGTAGCGGCCACGACAGGTTATATCTATACTTAAAAAAAACAAAAAAAAAAACAAACAAAAAACGTCAGTACCATTTCAAAATCAGAGAGGCACTTAAATCAAATCATTCTAGAAAACGATTTACTAAATGGATCAAAGCAATTTTTTCTGAACAGTATGTTGACACATTAGTGATTAATTCATTACAATTCCTAGACATTACGAGAAGGTTTAGAGTCTGTATACAGTCTATACATCAGTATCTGGTGTGTCCACCGCGAGTGTCAATATCAGCAGCGCACCGTCTGTACATGGAGTGGACCAGGCGATTAATGAACGCCATTGGCACCTGGAACCACACTCTCAGAAAAGCCTGACGCAATCCATCGGATGTGTTTGGTCTCGGTACGATGTTATTAAGTCTCCCCTGAATTTCATCCCAAAGATGTTCAATCGGGTTTAAGTCCGGACTAAGGGTTGGGCAGTGCATAACGTTGACACCGTTCTGCTGTAGAAAGCCCCGAGTAACTCTGGCGGTGTCATGCTGCAAACGTTGTTTCGATGAGGTGCGAAATGTGGTATGACGTGGGGTCTGAGAGCTTGATCGATGTCGCGCACTGCTGTGATGCCGCCTCCTCCCTCTGGACCACCATAGGACCCACTCTCTGGTTCGGGCCGATTCCACCCCACACCATTACGTTTGGACCTCCCCATGAGTCTCGTTCCATGACACATTGGTCAGAATAACGCTGGCCACGTCGACACCATATTCTAGTCCCGCCATCTGCAGTTGATACGCAATTCCGACTCTCATCTGTGAACAGAACAGTTCTGGTGGTGTTGGGCAAACTGTAGACGTCCACGTCGATGGCGACGGGTGAGAATCGGTTCACGGTAAGGTCTACGGCAATGGATGTTCTTTCTGGTGAGACGTCGGCGCAATGTATCGGTACTCAGATGCCTGTGTGAAGGGATTCTGCACGTGCTGTCGCACAACATGGTGGTCTTGTCGTCTTGTGGTAACCCATGGTTTACCAGTTTTGGGGCGATCATCCGAGGTGTTGGTGACCCGTAAGCGTTGCTGAAGCCTGTAGATGGTCCGAACATTGGCCTGGAAGTGATTGGCAACGCTTGGAAGTCTTCCAAGCGCCTGGTTTCTCGGGGCTGTCGTGAGTCGTGGCATGCTGCTGACGTTGTAGTGTGAATGTTTCAACCAGGTATAGGGGTGCATCTTATAGGGCTGGTCCCGGCGAACAGCACGTGCAGCATGAGTTACATGAAAATCATGGAGAACACATTACCATCTCAGAAGTCAGATTGCGTTTTTGAGAACATTTTATTGGGTTCAATTCCTTGTTTGGGGTGGAGCCTTATTGCTCAGGTAAAGTTAGAGATGTGGTCACCAATATACAATAAAAACATTTGGCAAGTTTTATGCAATGCGTCTATTCAGAGTAACATACCAACCTGACGTTTCTTTTGCTGCTTAGTATATAACCACACGACCACCACGATTTTATATTTGGCAAGTTGCCAGTGACCTGATTTTAATATATAAATATTATGAAAGGAATATTTTAATTTCTGACGTGTAGATTTCTATTGATAATAATATATCTATTGGTGACTACGCAATAAAGCGTCTCAATATATTTATTAATATTACGATTCTTTCTTTAGTTGAACATTCAATCTATTTAATGTAACGACTCTTTGTTTAGTTGAACAATCAATCTATTTAATGTTCACGTGCAAATCTCACGTATACCACAAATTATAGAGAGGCTTTCCCTAGGATTTATTTTCAGTTCAACCGAGTCCTATATTACCTGGATTTTGTTTTTCTGATGACAGACCTTTGGTAAAAATACTCTAAGAAAGTCTCAGCTACCCCCCCCCCCCTCATACACCCAGACACACACACACGCACCCACCCATACCATCACACAGACACTTTAACATGGCTATTCCTACAGCAAAACTGTCAATTGTGCTGTTGATTTTTTTAAAAATAATTTTAGTCTCTATTTGACTAGTTTTTACATATTTTTATACATTCGTTCGATTCCTGTCGTTTGAAAGCCTTTGTTAATTATACAAATATCATTTGGTACAGTGATGAATAGAATCCTGATCAAACTGATTTGTTAGTAAATAGGTTAGATGATACAGCATCACTTTGATAGAATAGGTTAGATCAGTGTTTCTCAACCTTTTGTTGGTTGCGACCTCATTTCAGAAACCAGCATCTGATAGCGACGCCTCGAAGAACAAAGTCGCCTGAATAGCGAGTTGAAATTTGTTATAAACCAATTAGGGTCCCAAATTCGCAAGGGGTTCAAACTGACTCGGGATTAATTCACACGGGGTCCGATTTCGCGGCGGCTACATGGACACACTAC